ATGTAGCAGTTCGAATATTGGAGAAGCATTTTTTTTGGATATTCAGAATATTTAAGATAATTTTTTTTTTAAATTCTAATTAGGTATTCATTTGGGATGACTTTATTGTTTCTTAAAATAACTTTTTAGTATAAAATTTAGATTTCGTTTGGGACGACTTTTTTACTTAATTCATAAAACAATTTGTAGTACAAAAATTTAAATTTTTATACTAGGAAGCTGCTTTAAGAAGCATTAAAAAATTCATCTTAAATGAAGTCTTAAGCGTCGTTTGGAATGTCTTTCTTACTGGGTCATAAAGTAGCTTTTTAGTACAAAATTTAAAATTTTTACACTAAAAAGCTACTTTAAAAGTCAGGAAAAAAAGTCATCCCAAACTAAGCCTTAATTTTGTACTAAAAAGTTATTTCAAGAATCATTAAGAAAATCATCCTAAATAAAGCCTAAAACTTTAGATCAAAACTCTCAATCAATAAATTAAAGTTTTATTTAGGACTGCTTTCTTAGTGCTTTTTAAAAATAAAAATTAAATTTTTACACTAAAAATCTGTTTTAAAAAAGCACTAAGAAAAACATTTCAAAGAAAATCGAAAACTTTATTTGACATAATTTTTTTACAACTTTTTAAAACAAATTTTTAATGCAAAATTTTAATAAAAAAATAGTTAAAAATCCGTTCCAAACGAAGCTTAAATTGATGCATAATGTTAGAGAAACGTAAGAAAGTGGTTGCAGGAGATCGTGGAAAGTAGGTCGCATTTTAGGGAGATGACGAATTTGACCGACCGATTTATTTTTTTACGGTAATGTCCGAAGGCAAAGAAGAATACAAATGAACGTTATATTCTTGGCGGGATGCCATCACGCTGGTTCGGTAAGCTTACCTCCGCAGATTTACATGGCTTTGTTTTCTTCTCTTCTATGACAACTAATTTGGTAATTACTGCTTTGGTGCACGTATTTGCAATTTAAAGATCGGTAAAGTGTAAACTAAAAGAATATTTAAAATATGGATAATTATTTAGTTGATCTTTAAATAATTTAGGGATTATTTTATTTCTATTTAGTTGAAAGTAAAGCAAATCTAAGATAATAATAATAATAATAAAAGTTTTAAAAGTGCATTGTGATGGTGCAATCTAGCAAAAGGCGGTGTCCCACATTAATGTAATATGGAATATATTATTGTTGCGGGGTGAAATATATGCGGCGGTAGAGTTTGTAAATTCACGTCTGAGCGTTGTACGAATATTCAGCACACAAACAGAAAAGAGAATGAACACAAGAAATTTTAAGTGGAAAAATCGAAAGAGGGAAAAACCACGGGGCCACGCCCAGTTGAAATAATTCCACTAGTGTTTATTTGAAGTACAAAGACCGATTCGTCTCGCAAGTCAAGATGATCGGTTTACAATCAGCTTCTAACAAAGTTACAAAGTTCTGCAAAATCCCGGCGTTTCCCGAAAATCTGGCAGAGTTCCGGCGTATTCAGGCGGCGGGAAGAGCTCCGGCGGTGGTCGAGGAGAAGATGATTCTCCCTTTCCCCTTTCTCTTCTTCTTTCCTTCTTCTTCTCTCTCTTCACTTGAGTCCTCTTGTGAAGAATGAGGGCTATATTTATAGTTTTTCAGGAGTGGCATGGCTTGTAAATATGTGTAAGATCAGGGGCGAATAGGGAGTCGTCGAATGGACGGTTGATGTTGAACCCTTCAATCGTGCAGAGTTCGTTGGACATCTTAAGGCCTTAGTGATGTTGGAATTCGGAGATCTTGAGCTCGTTGGATTCGTCTCGTCGAGCCGTTCGATTCGAGTATAAGCTCGTTAAAATTGGAGACCGTTTGGTAACTCAAATTGTGGTTTAAATCTTCCAACACGCGCTTCGGGTCCTTGATTTGGACCCATTTGGGCTTGGATTGGGTTGAATTTGGTGTCGTTGGGTTCGTATTTCCGATACGCTCAGTTTGACTGTAAGCTCGCTGAAATCGAAGTTCGGGTGCTTCCGAATTTAATTTTTTGAAGTTTATGAGTTGGGTTTTGCTTCGAGATTCGTGCCAGATCAAGATAATTTTATAATAACGTATCAATTATAATTACATATAGGACATTTTATTTTATTTTATAATGAACTAAAAAAAAATCTAATATATTGAAAATATCAATAAGGTCATAATCTATAGTATATGAAGGAGGTATCAAGAAGACGCATAACAGAAGGAGGAAGATGATATGAAAAGCTATCTTATTATATCATGATTTTACTGTTTACATGGATATACATAGATCTAAGCTATAAAAAAATCTAATATATTGAAAATATCAATAAGGTCATAATCTATAGTATATGAAGGAGGTATCAAGAAGACGCATAACAGAAGGAGGAAGATGATATGAAAAGCTATCTTATTATATCATGATTTTACTGTTTACATGGATATACATAGATCTAAGCTATACAATATTAACGGCTCATATTACGAGATAATAATCTAATGGTGGAGATAATACATGAAGGTTAACCCCCTA